TTCTAGCTTTAAAAAGCTTTTAACTTATTTAAATTAGTAAATATTCTAATTAATCTTATTTATTTACTTAATACTAATATATTACTAATCAAATACTGCCTTTATATACTAAGGTTCTTATAAATAAATTAGAATTAAGATATATTAAAAAAAGCTTATTAATTAAAAAAGAATTACTTGAGAATATAAAAACTTAAGAAATCTTTTCTATTACTTTAGATACTTAGACAAGTATAAATCAAAAGGCCATTCTTGGAATTACTCTATAAGTTAGTATTCTTTTAATTATTAAAGAAAAATATTAATAATTATTTAGATATTTTATAAATAATAATTTTAAATTAAAATCTTATTTACTAGCTATACGAGATTTAAGTAATATTTACTCAGGTATCTATATACTATCTATTCTCTTAGATACTTTAAGAGAATATAATATTAAATATAATATAACTAGGTAAGTAATTTTAATTTTAATTTTAATTTTAATTATTATTAACTAACTTTAAATTAGTATTACTCGAGATAATACTAGCTCAAATAATACCTTATTAAAGGCTTTTATAAAGTATTATAATAAGAAAGGCATTAAATTTTAAGGAGATATTTCTTATATAGCTTATATTTTAAATTTAGTAGTTTAAGATATTTTAAAAGCTCTTATTAAGAATAATTATAATACCTCTTATTCTATAGGTTTATATAAGCAAGAAATAGAAGAACTCGAAGATAGAGAAAAAGAAGAGGGAAAACAAGTAATAAGTAAGTTTCCTATATAATTTATAAGAGTTTTATTAATAAATTATAGATTTATTAATTTGGAAAAAGATTTAAAAGACTATTATAGGTCTTAAATACAATCAAGAAAACCGACGGCTATTAGAAGCTCAAATTAAAGCTTTTAATATAGAAAATACTTAATTTCCTTAACTTAGTAAGTAATTAATTTTTTAATTTTTTAATTATTAATTAATACTAATTATTTATAGATTAAAAAACACAATAGTCTTTAACTTATTATATATTAAAGAACTTTTTATATATATATAAAGCTATTAAAGTAGTTATTAATAGCTCTAATTCGAAGGCTTTTAAAAATAAAAGTCTAGTTTTAACTAATATTAAAATTACTTATTTAAATAATATTTTAAATATAATTTCAATATTTATTAAAGCTATAACTAAGTTATAAGCCGAAAATTACCCTACTATATATTATATTATACCTGAGGTATATAAAATATATAATAAACTTGAAAATTTTAAAAAAGAATTTAAAGTAAGTCTTTTCTTAAATTCTTCTTATATTATTAATAATATTATACTAATCTTTAATAGGACAAAGCATTTACAGATATAATAGATTAGGATATAGCTAAACTTCGAAAATATTATCCTAAAATAGGTATTTTAGATAATAAAAGTAAAGCTTTATATTTAGTTCTTATTCTTGATCCTCGAATTAAACAAGAAGAATTAACTAGTATTAGCTTATCTAATAATATATCTTCGGATATATATAATAGATTAAAAACTAATTATAATATATAAGTAATTCCTTTAATTATTTTTTTAATAAATTAATAACTAATTTTATATTTAGATATAAATACAATTATAATTTATCCTATACTAGATCCGATTTCTCGGATATTAATATGACCGATTCCGACGAAGATAACTTAGATATATATATTACTAATAAGTTTTCTAATATAGAAGACGAATTAATAACTTATTTAGAAGAAAAGAGAGAGAATAGAAAAGTAAGTAAAACTCACTTAAATTTTATTAAATAATTATCCGATATTTCCTTAATATTTTTTAATATATTAGTACTAATATATATATAGATTAAGCTATTAGATTATTAGAAGTCTAATACAGCTAGATTTCCTATTTTAGCTTTAATAGCTAGGAAATATTTAGGTATTCCGGCTTCCTTAGCTACTAGTAAGAGGTTCTTAGCTTAATTTAGATTTTTTTTATTATAATATTATTAGTTAGTTATAAGATTATTTAATAATTAATAAGTAAAAGTAAAGAGAAAAGTAAAAAAAGTCAAGAAACTCCAATATTACGTAATTAATCAAGTATTAATTAGATTAATCTAATTAAAAAAAATCTGAATCACGTTAATCATAATCTAATCACATTAATTAATTAATTAATCGATTAATTTGATTAACGTGATTAATCCTTTGACACACTGAGTGGGTCAAACCCGGTTTGCCAATTTCCAACTCTTTGGAGATATCAAGAAGCATCTCGAACCAAATTGGGAATGCATCTCCAGGGCTGTGTCTTTTGACCAGTTTCGTTCGTACCATAACTAGCCGCAATGTCGAAGACCTCAACCTATTCCATTTCTCTGATGCTTCTCTCGACGAGCACCAGTTAAACTATCTAGGAGAGGGTGCGACGTACAGGGTTACTAAGGGCGCTAGCGGGCTAAGGGGCAAATTGAAGGCTGTCGCAATCAAGACAGTAAAGGTATCAATCCCACGAAATTTAGCAGATCTAACAATCAATAATAAATACTGCCGTCGACTTAGATCGATTTTATTCGAAGTCGAAATCCTATCTCATCCATCAGTTCGATAGCACCCGAAAATTGCAACATTATTAGCGTTTTCGTAGGATAGTATGTCTAGGGGGGTTATGCCAAGTCTCGTTATAGAATTGGCTATACCAGGGAACGCTAGATCTTTTCTCTCCTTGCAAGTTTTGTCAGACGAGCAAAAGTTAAGGTTTTACAACGGTGTTTCTTCAGGCTTACAATTTCTCCATGCCTATAAAATTGTCTATAGAGATATTAAACTCGATAATGTTCTTGTCTATAAGGATAAAGTGACAGGGTTTATGGTTAAAATCGCGGACTTCGACCGCTCTCCTCAAAGCACAGAACATAATTCATATACTGGGACCACGTGCTATAACGCTCCAGAGGTTCAAAGGCAGATGAGTAGGTCTGTAAAGACCCTAGTATATTTAGAGCTTTGGTTGTGTGACGTCTTTGCTTTCGGTCTCTTGACTCTGGAGGTCTTTGCGGGTGTGAGATTCTACGGGGACCTGCCTAGAGGCGACCGACTAATCAGCCGTATTAACTTGGGCAGTCAGTCAGGTACGTAGTACCTAAGCCTTATTCCCTTAGTCATCAGCTAATTTTCTATTTCTAAAGAAGACGAGATATCAATTTTGGCCATTGAAGTTTTAATAAAGGCATGGCGATTTTCTGCTCCCCTGCTAGATATTTGTCGGAAGATATTAAAGACTACGCTAGCGATCTCGCCTTTTAAAAGACTCTAAAATAGATAGTTGGCAATTCGGAGCCTTCTATAGGAAACAAGGTATACTTATACTGTGGTTCGCAGCCATTATACTACCTACTCACTTTATCGCTACTTTCTAAGGAAGACACACCACTCTTAACGACGCATTTCAACCACTTATTGACGACCTAGAGCATTCCTACTCGGTAAGTATCTATCTATTATATTAAACCTGGTCTAGATACCTGTATACACACAGGTGTGCGGCGGTCAAATCTCTTCAAAGCAAGCAGAAGAAGGAAAGCAGGGTAAAACAGAAAAAGCAAGCAAGGAAGGAAGGAAGAAAAAATAAAATGAAGAAAGGAAGAAAAAGCGAAAGAAGGGAACACATAATCAAAATTGATTTATTTTATCCCTTACCTAGTACATATATAGTATGCAATCACAGTAGCTAACGCAGTTTCGAAGATCCTAGAAATCCACGCCCAAACAAAGAAGATCCACGATAATGCCCTAGGCCCTAGAGTATAGTCAGAACTCAAATATATTGTTAATAACTCCACGGTCAAAGAAGAGAGGGGCAGAGCGGCCTTCAGCATTTTCCTATGCTACTCCCTCGGATACGCATACCGAGAAATACAAAGTATAGACCAAGCCCTAGAGTATATCGTCTGTTCGGCTGAGTCAGGGTACTCTCCTGCCTTTGCTATTGGCAGGCGTTTATTTGAAGCCAATCATGTAGAGCTACCTTCTGTACTACGTTGTGGGCCGAAGGATGAGACGCTTTGCCGAGTCCTAGCGCAATTGGACGAGTTACCAAACGAGGAGTATTACTACGCAGCTGTTTAAATTTTCTAGCCTCGAGTACTTCGAGCAGATACAATTCGATTGCTATAACGTCTCCTAACAGTTGACTTTATCCTATACCTGCCAGCATAGATCAGTGATCAAAATCATACAATAGGGAACGAAGCGTTCAAGATTTACGCGAACGATCACTTTCTCTTTTACCAAGCGGTACTAGCTAGCTCTTACACGGCATATGAGCTCCTTATAGAACTTGGATGCAACATCAACATAGATACCCCAGATGGGATCACGCCTTTGACAAAAGAGACAACCGAATACCACCCGTACAATGAGATTGTTTTTACTGAGGTGTATAGAGATGGTCGTCGCTGTGACCGGTCTCTTCAAGGTGAAAGAACCAGTTTGCATTCGTTAGGACTGGGCCAACGGTAGAACGAAAGCGGACACATCTCCTATCTGGAGTTTGTGGCGTAATCCCAATGTCTTAGAGTGTTGTGGAACTTGTGAGTCGTCTGACTGCACATTGAAAGTGGCAAGCCATGGCGCTTCGCTTTGACCCCAAGCCAACACTCAGATTTGCTTCTTATTCAATTCGTGGCGAGACCTACTTTGAGCAATGGCTGACCTGCTCCCAGCTTAAAAGCCAAACATCTCTCTGAATCCATTGTGATAGCTGCTGCGTGTTTTACTTTCGTTGTTCAGCACAGCCAGCCTGATAAAACCCACTTTCCACATATGAAAAGTTCCCCAACTTCAGCTTGTGCTCCCATGTAATCATTTTGAGGCTCAGCAAAACCCCCTCGAGTATTCATCTCTAAGGCAATGCTACAATTGCATGTTCTGTAATTATTCTCGACTGATCATTAGCACTTTTGGTTGCAACAAGTACCAATCCCGCCATCGTCTCATCCGTTCACCATGAACTATGTACTTGCATTCCTGATTGTCTTCCAGCTGACAGATGTGGTCCTCGGGCAAATCACTAGTCCCTCAGCTGGCGCCATCTACGAAGCAGGTTCTACGCTCCTGATTACATGGCAAGGAGGAGGAGACACAATCACCATAGTCCTGGAAACTGGCGTTCTACATATCCCTGCATCCGGGACAACAATTGCCAGTATGTTGTAACCACACTTCTGTGTATGATGGTGATGGTAGTTAATGGTCATCAGGCGATGCTCCCAATTTTGGAACATACACCTGGGACATCCCGTCCAATATCACACCAGCGAATAACTACGCCATCGTGATTTTCGGCCCTAGCTTTGACATGACAGGCGATAACTTCGAGATCACCGACAGTGGCAGTTCTTCCAGCACTTCATTAGCACTAATTGTCGCTGGACTAACAAAAGTTCAGACTTCAACCACGATTATAACGAATAGTAATACTTTATCTTCTGCCACGGTCAGTATTTCTTATCACATGAGTAATGAAAATATTGCTCAAAGTTTACCATAGACGACAAGCCAAGCATCGAGACCAACTTCTTCAACAATAGCAAACGGACTCTCTACTGGTGGAAAAGCCGGAATTGGAATTGGTGTCATCATTGGTATACTAGCACTTATTGTTCTTGTCTTAGCCGCATTTCGGTATCGTCAACGCAGGCATCCTGCACGAAGAGGGCTTGATCCCGGACCTGGGCCTTATGAAATGAGCGCGGATACAAATTGGCACGCCAGTCTGGCTAACAACAAAATACACGAGATGGAACAAGAGAAGCAAGGATTCCTGCCCCCTCGTGCAGAGATGGATAGCAGGACTCCTCAAGAGTCGAAGTTTACCCAGCGACATGAACTGGACCCAAGTCGCATGCTAGGGCCCGAATTACCCTCAAATGTATACCCATCCCTTCACGAATTGGAGGCAACCTCCGAGACCACGACCGTTGTTTCAAAGACTCTTTCCCGGAAACCGGTTGGAGCAACTCTGCCCGGCACGTAAGACGATGAGGGCATGCAGGTTCCACAAGACAGAGTCGAGAGGATCAGGAAAGAGAAGGAGAGAATGAAGAAGATCCAGGAATTAGAGATTTTAGAGGAGGAAACACAACGGGCTATAGTGGATAAAGCCAAGGAAAGGGGTGGCAATGGGGAGGCTTCGAAACGATGAACTTTTGAGGAATATGGAAGAAGTTGAAAGGAGGTTAACATAATAATAAGCTAATTAACAATGATTTCAAGAATCATTCCAGAGAAGCTACCACCGGTTTGAAGCATTGTACAGACCACGGGACTCAAGATAGGGAGCTGCCTATTGTTACTCGACCATTCTTTCATAACCCTTAATCATCCTCCTCCTTCGGATCAAATATATCTCCAGCCTCCGTCTTCGTCAACCTCACACCCTCGTCCGTAACAATCTCCTTACTCGGCACCAGAACAGCAAACACCCTCGCGAGCTCCTTTCCCCGATTAACCCATTCATGATTCGTGCCCCTCATCACAACAACATCCTGCTCCTTCAACGTCTTCTCCACACCGCCATCAATGATCAGCGTCACTTCCCCTTTCAAAACAACCACATAATCAAGACTGAGCGTACGATGAATCCAGCTTGCTTCTGCAGGAGGCAGATCTACGATGCGACACTATTACATATCATGAGCACGTGGTTAGAGGTTTGTTAAGCTCTCGGACTTACATGGGCACCTTTGGTATCAGCAAGCGGCACAAGGGTCTTGTGCACTTCCTTCAACTGTAATTGGTTATCAGCGGGAAAGCCACGGCTGCGATGGATTTGTATTACGCCGAAAGCGGAGCTCTCGTTTGGAGCTGAGAAGGCGGGTGCGGTGGTTGGGTCATCTGGGTGCAGGAGATCATCTGAGGCGAAGATGGCAACCCCTTTTGGATCGTGGGAAGTGATTATGCGGCGAACGGGGGTGGAGTAGTCGAGTTTTGAGGAAGGCATTGTTAGTGTGAGGATGGGAGAATTTCGAATTCTGGCTGGCAATGAGCAATGATCTCATTCCAATATAGTTTTTGGGGGGACCATTGTGCTCTTATAATACTTCTTCAGACTTCTCGTTATGCTTAAAGTTCTTCGTCAGCCCACATTCGGCAAGAATAATTTCAAATCCCCATCTGTGCCGCATGCCATAAGACTGACGAGGGGTGATCATGCAGGTCAGCGTCACACGCTTCAGGAACCAGCCAAACAATAATAGCGAGCCAGAATGTCAAGCCGTGCCACCGGCAAATATAGATAGCGAGCGGTGAGGCGTTCTATTGGTACTGCTGTCATCTGACTAGTAAGTAAGCTAGACGAATGCGGACGGGCGAAAGAACGAGGACGTACATCCGTAGATCTAGTTATATTAGCTGTGGCCTGGTTCACACTAGCCCATCTTCTCCCATTACAAAAAGTGCAGTTGTTTGACAAAAAGCTACGTGCCGTGCCAAATTCAGAGGCACTTTCGCTTCAGAGAAAAGGGGGCTTCACGCTTTGAGTTTGCGGGACAAAGACGCCTCAAACAATGAAGGCACAAATCTCGAGTTACGACGCACCCCAGCTTTTACAGGGGAAAATCGAACAGCTGCAAAGACCGGCTAAGTGCTTAATAAAGACAAAGGGCAGTATTTGGGGCAGTATTTGGGAGGGTCGTCCATCGAGCCTTTTGTCCTTTGACTTTTGAGAGTAGCGCCGATCAAGTCAATTTCTCACGATTTCACTGCAACTTCCTTTTATTCAGTTATTTATTAATTTAAGCAATATGAAAGAGCAATCTCAAGTCAGATGGATCTTCTAGTCCCACGCGAAAGATCTGCAGTTGGGCTTTTTAAGTGGTAGTCGTGCTTTATGTATATGCGTTCGATTAGAGAGTTCCTTCAAACGTTTGGACGCTTCAAAACGTTTGGTGGCTTCATAGTTTTTGGGGACTTTAAAATGTATGTGGCCTTCATGACGTTTGTTGACGCCTGCGGGCTTCATGATGATTGTGGGCTCCATAACGTTTCTGGGCTCTATAACGTTTTCTGGCTTTGAATTCTCTGGGGGCTTTAAAACGTCTGGGTGCTTTCAGACGATTAGGTGCTTTCAGACGATTAGGTGCTTTATGACGTTTGGGTGCTTTAAATCGTTTGGGGGGTTTTAAAACGTTTGGGCTTCAAAACATCTGGGGGCTTCAAAACTTCTGGCGGGTTTTAAAACGTTTAGGGGGGTTCAAAATCTCTTGGGCCTTTAAATCGTCTTGGGCCTTTAAATAGGCTTCAAAACGTCAGAGGGGCTTTAAAACTTTTGGGGGGTTAAAACCTTTTGGGCCTTTAAATCGTCTTGGGGGTTCAAAACGTTTGGGGCCTTCAAAACGTTTGGGCTTCTTCATGGACCGTTTGGAGGATCAGATAGCAAAGAAGAAGATGCGTTGTGCAACGAAAAAATCCAACCACGGGTTTTTATGTAATCAGAAGTGAAAAGGCCCACCAGTGGCCCAAATTTGAAACTTTTGAAAGTGAAGTGGGAATAGGGGTACACGTAAGCGAGCTGCGGCTGGGAAAAGGGGGCAAACAAATGAAACCCAGGCGGCGTTCCTGAACAAGATCTTATGAGAACAGCTTATAAGGCTTTGCAGGCTTTTCATAAGGCGTACATGTTAGGAGGTACCAAAAGGTGGAAAGTTGCGAGTTGAGATGATTTACCAAGGCTACGTAACGAGGACGATTCCCCACTAACAAAACGGGCTGGAAGGTATTGTTTATTTGCGCACAGCAAAGATAATATACTCCAGAAGAACATTCCCTGCAAAAATAAATTTAATAAGAATGTCGTCGTGGTATTCGCTCTTTGGATGATGCAGCCTGCTTCGCGTTCTTACGCGTTTGCAGGAAACTCCGTGCAACGGCAATTGAGTAGGCTTGTGATGGGGTTCTTTAAGATGCAGCCTCGAGGTTCGCAAGAGAATTCAAATTTCAGAAACAGCACGTAGCGGGCAGTGCTCGTGCCATCTTTGATAAGTACGATGAAAATCCCACAGTTTTTCACGGCCTTGACCCCTGTTCCCCTCCCTTAATTCAGTCTCCTTTCACGCCGCCTTTTCAACGTCAATCCGCTTCCTCTTAGAGGTCTTGTACTTCATACTTCCATTAGTAGCTTCCTTAAGAAGCTTCCTGCTTCCCAACAGCGTCAGGATCACCACTCTCACCCTTCCCGCCCGGCGTGAAATACTGCCTACGTTGATGTTGTTTCTGATGAGCCGGAAACATCGTAGCATAGAACTCCGTCCATCCACCCATCCTGACGCGCACCAAATCATACTGCTCGGGGTCCTTACTAGCTTTCTCATACGTCTTAAGGTCTGCACAGGTGAGCGTAAGTAGATTACCTCCCACCTCTCCGCGCGCGTATGCTTTGATGAAAGTTTGCAGAGCTCCGAGCGGGAAGGATTCAGAGATGTTCATGTCGACCGGCGACGCATTCGAGAGGCCGTATTCCACACTCGCAGACTGGTAGCTCTCCATGGCTTGGTAGATGTTGCGGAATGCTGGGTTTGGTGGGAGGTCCTGGGCAGCGGGTGCAGGTGACAGGTCCGATGCAATGGGCACGCCGTTTCGACGGCCGTCTGCTGAAGCACCACACCCCGCCCCATCGCCAACGTAGCCTTCAAACGTGCCGATTCCCGGTGTAACCACGAACTCGAAATCGGGGCCGTGGGTAGTTGCAATGTTTGACAGCAGGGGCTCGAGAGCTGGAGACGGTTTGCGGATGGCTTCTACGCATAGCCGCACCATGTTTTCGATAAGCCAGTCTCCCAGTGCGTTCAGGTCCGCATCGCCACTGCCCCATTTTGGCAACTTCAGAGCAGATTCTCGTAATTCCTGGTAGCGACGACCATGCTCGGCTGCATCTGCTGGGCCATCGAGCTGGTTTTGGAATGGCTCGATCATATTGAAGCCCCAGTCGTTGATCAGGCAGTTCACTAGATCAGGCAACGTGGTGATGGCTGTCGTTGGATCGTAGACGAGTTTCTGAATTGCGTACAGTGAGTCAATGGTGTTTGATACGCCAACGCAAAGTGGTGCAATGATATGGAAACGTGCTCCGCCATTTGTCAGGTCACGGCCACGCTCCACACAGCCATCAATCAGAATCGACAGCAAAGGGCTGGGACAAATATCTGCAAGATTGCCGTATGCCCCAAGGATGGTGTTATAACATTGTATAACCAGCCATTCCAGTTGATTCAAGAAAATCGATTGCAATTCTTCGAAGTTTTTGATCTCAATGGCTGGTGGTGAACGAAAGGTCTGCTTCAGTCCTCGTAGCTGCTCAGGTCCGGCCTGACTGTACGTTGCACCCTGATTAATAGTCTGCTCCAGCGCCAACAAAGGGGCGACATTGTTGAACGTGAATTCGGAAGCACCAGCAAGCATAGGTTCGTAGCAGCCATCAGCTGCATAATTTCGAGACCATGAACGCGTGACACTTTCTCCAGATTGGAACAAGGCTTCCGTCAACTTATCGTCGTTGTACAAGATTGGTTGAGCACCACCAGCAAGAATTGCTTTCGCTGCTTCATCGAGTAACTCTTCTGGCATGCCTTTATACACTCTGAGAGACAAAGTTGGCGCACTGACAGGAATGCGTCGCGCCGACTTCAGACAAAGCATGGTGACTGGATTTGCAGCACCCACTGGCTCCTCATCCTCGGTAGCTTTGTAGCCACCCACTGTGATTTGTTGTACCCATTGATTGATGCCGCCTCCCTGAGGAAAGTTGCCACCGAGTCCACATACAGCCGTGGTTCCGTAAGTCACATAATCGTAGATGAAGGTTCGGTTGATGAATGCATTTTCGCCAATCTTTACCCAGAGACAATCCATGATATCTTGCGCTCGCTCCATGGAAACCCTATCGTGCTCCAAGAAAGGCCAGAGGATTTGATCAAGACGCCCAAGTGAGGTCAACTCGCCAACCAGATGGAGGCATGAGTGAAACGAAAAGATGAGTTGGACAGCATCTTGAAAGTCTTGCGGCTCCTGATCGACAAGACGGAGAAGGCGGGTTGAAACATCCTTCATGTTTTCTGCATCGGCAGGATCCTCAGTCGCCTTAGCGGATTCAAGGGCGATGTTTGCCCAATTTCGGAGGTATCCCTGAACACCTTGGAGCGAAGATATAGCAGACTTGTAAAACTCGACTGCTGAGCCATTATTCAGATTGTTCTGCGCGGTAGCAGTACGAAGGAGGCTTTCCAACTCCTCGAGCAGCTTAGCCAACCCTTTCTTGACTAGCTGCTCATAATCAGGCACAATATGTCCCATCGCCGACCACTCATTGAGTTCGCCTTTGAGCCACGCGGCAATTGTCTCGTCTCTGGTCAAATAAGGCACAACCTCCTTCCCTCGACCCAGAGTAAAGTCGGGGATCACACCAACGATAAGCTCCTTCGAGTCAATGCGTAACAGACCATTGAAGCGTGCAATATTCGACGTTGGCGACGAGAGAAGATCGGCCAGTGTTTTGAAGTTGGCGAGTCCTTTTCGTTGTAGAATGGATGCAGTCAAGAGACTCTTTGAGTCAGCATCAATCACATCCTTCAGGTGAGGCAGACGTGGCATTGCATTGCGATGTACCCAGCCATCTCGCCAATGTGAGAAAGTCCTGGACATCAGGTTGAGGAGTCGGGAACTAGGAGGATCGCCTCCCTTGTAGAGGCCACTCGCCATCTGATGCAGATAATCCGTCGAGTTGTAAAACAAGTATCCATTAGCACTACGCACATTCCAATGTGGATCTTCATAAATGTCGTCTGAGCCGGAAACTGAGGTTACTCCGAGCTCAACCGCCGCCGGAACGTACCAGTACCCGCCCATAACACCGTGTACCACGTCCATGAGTGGGTCTGCGGGCGTGCTCGGGGTTCTTCCCAGCAGATGTCTAAGAATCTGCTCAAATCGTCCTTGGTCGTTGCAAAATGCCACAAACATAAGACCCTTTTCACGCCCAGCATGTCCAAGCACCTCGCCGAAGGGCAATGCTTGACGCAGCAACTTTCGCTCGTCTCCATTGCGGTCACGAACATTTGCATGATAAATGTGCCCGGGCATGACTTGCCGGGGAAGGACGGTACCATCTGTATTGCGACCAATCATCTGATCCTGTGTGTCAGGGGCCTGTGAGGAGATACTGGGCCAATCGAAGATGAATTTCTGCGTCAAGGCAAAGCTTGCACCGGGGTAAGCGTGGGAACGATTGAGGAGTATATCCTCGGTCAAGCTGATAGGATCGTTGGGATTTGTGATGCCATCTAGGTATCGTCCACCTATGATACGCACATCGGGACGTTTCCCTCCTATCACAACATCAATTGTGAGGGATAATGATTTGAGACGTGGCAGCACGGTGGCAACGAGCTTTGCTGCAGTTTCGTGATCTGGCGCCTTGACATAGAGCAGCACATCGTCTCTGGAATTCGTAAATTTGACTCCGGCATCGAGTGTGGCGGTATGAATTGGAAAGTCCTGCCCAGTCCATTTACCCCAAATCTGCGGGGAAAAGGCCACGACCAGTCCACAAGACGAGGGATTTGCCAAGTTTTGGGAATCAATGCTCTGATTTAGATCCAGAACAATGCGGAGGATATCATTATGAGTCCGTTTGTCGTCTGTCTTGAGCTTGATGGAAAGGATTTGGCCAAAGATAGCGCGCATAAGCAGGCCGCGCTGAGCGCCGAGAAGAGTTTGATCGACCAACATTTTGGGTCTACTTCAGCAAGTTTCTGGGCGAGAGATGCGAGGAAAATGAATTACCAGTACAAGCTGTGAATATAAACAGACTTCGGTACATACAACTCGTTGTGGAATTCTGAGGGAGAGCGCAAAGTCTGGGTGCGTTGGGCAATGGACACTAGACCGCTCGAAGTTGATGCCTAGCTCCACAAATGGGACCATCGTTGCATAATAGGCTGTCTTGTTTCTACACCTTCTGTCTTCATAGCCTCATGATAGGCTTAAAATGGTGTGGCGTGCAGGTTGTCTCAGCCAAGATTGCATGTGCAAATCAAATAGTATTATCGATGTTACACAACCTTTCGTTTTTGTCCCAAAATGCTTGCCCACATATCTCTCACTAGAACATGCCGACGAGGCGTATATGCTTAAGATGCATTCCACACCTGTCACAGGGGCATGTGGGCAAGAGTACGGGTATACCCGCGAATATCCCGGTAGCCTCACTCTGGGTATCAACTTTAGAAAAGTCAAGTTTGTCTTCGTTTCCCTGAACCCTATTTTCGGAGACGGTAACAAAATTGAAGTTCTGCTATTTTGGTCCAAGCTTCTAGACATTTTTCTTTTGGTCAAAACCTAGTGTTGTAGACGAGTCAGTAGCGTAGGCTTTTGGGGCGTAAACCATCAGAACACTAAAATGCGAAAATTACGAAACGCTGATTTGCGAAAGTACATCAACTTTTGGTGCCAACCACACCAAAAATCGATGTACTACTATAAATCAAAATTTCCAACGCAATGTACTCATAGTTTTACGACAAATTAAAGCTTTCAAATTATATATAAATGTGAATTTTAATGATTTCTATAGTGTTTTAAAGCTCGACAAATATTACTATTATATTAAATTATACTATTTTTAGTATTCTCTTATATATAATATCTTTATTACTCTGCTTTTCCTCCTTGCTATTAGCTGATATCATTATTGCTCGGATACTATATTATAAAGTTTATAACTCTTAAAAGAGGAAGTTATTTATAAGAGTATAATATAAAACGAAATACTTTAGAAAAGTATTAGAGACTCGAGTTAATATATATATAATAAAGAATAAATCTATAAAAATACAAATCATTAGCTATATATTTATAGATATAAAAGAGCTAGGTTTCTTTTCTTTTACCTATATAGTATTTACTAGCTAAATTATTAATTTTTTAATATTATAATAATTTTACGATTTTATTAATACTATATAAAGCCGTGGCTATAAAACCTTAGTTATAACATTTATTAAAACCTTAAATATAAGAAGCCTTTACTACTTTCTACTTCTAATAAATCTGTTTATAAATCTCCTAATATTAGTAATAAACTACTTGATTTAACTAAAGCTATTACTAAAGCTATAAAAAAAAGAAAGTTTTAGTATTTAATAGTAAATAAAGCTAAAGAATAGAATATATATTATTAAAACCAAGCCCGAATAATACTTTATACTAATAGTAATATTAGAAGATTAAAAAGAAATATAAAACTAGTAAGAAAGTATCTAGGAAGTTTAAAATAAGAGTTTATAGATCTAATAATATTTCTTTTATATTTCTAATAATAATAATATTCTCTAAATACTATAAATAATAGTCGAGAAGAAAAAATAAAAGATATATAAAGAATTAAAAATAATAAGCTTTATTTTAGATTAAAAAAAGCTTTTATTATTAGATATTTTTTTCTAGTTCTTTATAAAAGAAATATATTTTACTTTTTCGAATTCTAGTAATTCTAAAATATATATAATAATACTAATAGCTTTTTTAATTTCCTAAATACTATTTTATTTATAATATTCTATTATTATTTCTTTTCCTAATTCTATATTTATTATTATTTTTATTTTTAGGGAAATACTAGAATTTATTTCTTTTAATAAACTATTTTAAGTTAATTTCTAATATATATTTTTTAAAATATAATACTATTAAGTTTTTCTAGTATATAATATTCTTTTAGTTAATTTATATGTTTTATTTTATATAGGCTAAGCTAGTAATATAATAGCTTTATATTTCTTAACTTATTTTAATTTATTAATTTAATATTATATATAAAAACTAGATTTTTTTTATAGAAATAGGCTTTAAATAAATCTAGTAAATAATATTAAATTATTTCTTTTTCTTTTAATATCTTTTAATTCTTTTTAGTTTAATTTCTTTAATATCTTTTTTTCTTATTTATATTTATTTTATATATATTTCTAGAAGTATTTCTCTATTATAGACTTTATTTTATTTAAATATTTTCTAGATTAGAAAATATATTTTTATAAATAATATAATTTCCTTATTATTAATTATATAAAAGGAAATAAATCTAGTTAATTTATATATAGTAATTTAATTAGTAAATAGAATATATAATAGTAAATTTATCTAAAGCTTTTTTTTATTTATTATAAATATAATATATATTTAAATAATTAATTAATATTTTCTTTTAATTATTTTATTTTATTTAGAATTATAGACCGAAATAATAATTCTAATAATTTCTAGTTTATTAAGTTCCTGAATTATTACTTTTTTAAATTCCGATTTATTATTAATTTTAAATTATCTAAATAAACTATATTTATAAATTCTTTTTTAAAATAAACTTAATAATCTTTTTATTAGTCGGGGTTTTTTTTTAAAGATTTAGCTTTAATTTATTCTAAGAAATTATTTCTAGTAATAACTAATAAGTTATATTTTTTATAATCTAGTAATTTAATTATATTAATCCCAAGATAATAGAAAAGAAATATAGCTTTTATTATATATAAAGCTTTTTTATTTTATCTTACTTTTATATTAATAGACTTTATAAATATTAATATATTTTTATATATAATTATAGTAATTTTCCTAATAATAATAGCTAGCTATTAAATAAAAAGTATTTTCTCTTTTAATATATTTAATCTTATTATATAGCTCTTTAATAATAATTTCTCTTTATCTTTAGTTATTAATAATAAATTAAAATAAATATATTTTAAATATAACTTTCTATAGTAATTAATCTCTTATATTATAATTTAAAGCTTTTTTATTTAACTTTTAAAACTCGGCTCTAGATATTTCTTTTAGTCTAGAGAATATTATAAAGTATTATATAATATTCTAGTATTATTTAGAATAGCTATTATTTAAGGAATCTAGTAAAATAGTTAGGTTATTAAGTAAAATATAGGAGTTAGTATTATTATTTATTATTTTATTAGAAATTATATATAAAAGACTATAGCCTTTACTATATAATTTCCGGATATTATTATTTTTTAATATTATTAATTTGCTTTTAAATATAATAAAGCTTTAATTATTAATTTCTAATAACTAGATATTATTATTTAAATATCTAATAAAAGTCTTAGAAATCTAATTTCTTAAAATAATATTATATAACTAAACCGGAACTATTTCCTTTAATTAAACTTTTTATTTAATAAATATTATTTTAATAGTATTAAGCTTTATTACTAATTATTTATTAATATTTTTATTATTTTTGGTATTGCCTTTTTATTATAGATATCTCAATAATTTATTAATAGTAATATACTTGATTTTAAAATCAAATAATTGAATTTATATTAGCTAATAAATAACTAGAGCTTTAAATAGATTTATAGCTACTTTACTTAATTATATAATAAATATATTAATATTTAGTTTAAGAATAAAATAAACTTTATATAGCTAGAATTATATTTTCTATAGATATTTTACTAGTTCTTAATATTTTCTTTTAGTAGTATTATATCTTTATTTAGTATTATTTTAGATTCTAGATTTATATTATATAATTTTATTATTTTTATTATTATTATATTAATTAAGAGTTCTGTTTTATTTATTTAGGCTAGTATTTATTACTAATATAATTATTTCCTAATTTTCTAATAAATTATAATATAACTTATAAAATATTAGAATAATAATAAGCTTTTCTTAAAGAATTTATATTTATTTATTATTTTAGTTCTATATTATATCCTTTCTTATTAAGTAATAAATGAATTCAATAATAACTATAAAGCCCTTAATTCAAATATAATAGTAAATAATAATTCCGATAAATACTTTACTTTTAATTATATTATTATAATATTTCTATCTTAAAATCTTGCGAATTCCTGAATTTAAAAGGCTTCTTCTAAATATTCTATAAATAAAGCTAATAATAATTATATTATTATAATAGAACTATAATTCTTCTCTAATATTAATTCCGGTTTATTTAATTTTATTTAAGGTTATATTCAGGTTTTAAAAGTATTCGAATATAAAATACTAAATATTAGGTAAAATAAGCTATCTATTATAATTTGTATAAGGTTTCTTAATTCTAATATTATTAATAAATAATATAGTAATTTTAAGAAATAGATTCTCTAAAATAGTTATTATTATGCTCTGCCGCTTTACTAGGAAATTTAGCGTCACGTGACCACGCGATGACGCATGCGGCTGGGGCTAGTATTTAGAACACTAAAGCTCCTGTATATACGAGCTTCCTTCCTTAGTTTAGAATCCTCGGATTAAGAGCCACTCTACTTTGCTTTCCAAGCCCAGAGCCCGGTATCGTGACATTATTCTGAACTCATTCTTGTTCCTGCAGAGGAAGTAAAACCACTCTCACATCTTGCGCACGAGTGCGATTTCACGGCAACTTTGACGATAGCGCTATCGATACATACGGTTACGGAACCACTATACACCTTCAGAGAGATCAAGAGCTTATTGGGCTCTCTCTTACTTCAAGTTTTTGCAATTCCCCCTTCTCTTTTTCGAAATGGATCCACCTTCGCAGACCCAGATCGCGAACGCGATCACCGAGCTCCAAGCAGAGGTTCAACGTCAAGCTGAGGTTATTCAGTAACTCCTCCTACAAGCTCGCCCTTCTACGAAGCCGAAATCCTCCCTCCCACACCCCGAAAAATTCAATAGCCAGGTCCACAAGTTCGATA